ATTTATTATATATAAATTAAATAATTAATCCATATAATTACTTACCGCACCTGTTGGGAAAAAGGTAACACCTGTACTATCAAATACTATGCAACTACAAAAAGCAGTCTAAAATAAACTAAGCGCATGGAATTTTCAATTTAAATAAGCATTCTAATTTATTACATATTTCTTCTTTCATTTTCAGTTTTTGGTAACTGCAAAGAGCAGAAATATTCGCTTAACACACAAAATGAAATAAGCATTAAAATTTGTTTTTTTGACTAATTTATTACATTTTTTTTTCTTTGCTGGACTTGCGCTAATAACTGAGCTGGAAAATGAAAAAAAAAGAGAAAAAAAAGGAAAACAAAATAAAATAATATAAAATGCAATACAATGAAAAAACAATTAAATACTAAATAAAAAAAAAGCAAAATACAAAAATAGCATTCGCATTAGGCGTGTTACAGCGTTATTAAAGCATAAAAATAGATTGCATCAAAAGTAATAAAAAATAGATAAATATAAAAAATAAATTAAACAGGAATTCAATTTAAATTCCAAAAAACAAACAAATTCAAATAAATAATATAAAAAACTATTGCGTAATTTTGCATTTGTTGTGGCCGAAAATTGTTGTTGTTGTTGCTGTTGGAGATTTTGGTTTTTGTTTGTTTTCTGTAGCATGGTTTGGTCTCGCTCTCTCATTAGCTCATTTACATTGCGATAGATGCGTTAGATTTATAAGCCAAGCATGTCATAGAAAAAAGAAACTAAATTAGTAAACATTTGTTGTCGATCAATTGTAAAGTACAAAAATTGCTTAGATTATAAAATTTGTAAAAATTAAAACTAGGTTTCGATATAAAAATCTATAAAGAATAATCTTCGAAGTGTCCGAAGTCTTAATACCTTTGCAGAGTACACAAAAATAGTCTATAATAACTGTCAAAATTATTTTCAGATTTTGTATCAATCACTCACTTTTCACAGCTTTTTATTCGCCATCCTATTCGTGGGATCATGTGGATTTTGTGAATTTTATGCGTCGCTATTTTTGCAGCTCACTCACTCACACTCACATATTGACTACACTATTTATTTTGGATTATAAACTAATAAAATATAATCGAAAACAACCGCGTTAATATTATTATTCTCAATTGAGCACATTTTGTCAGCGAAACCCGCAAATAATCTAACTCTCCCACTCACACCGCTTAAACGACTGATGCGTTGTTAAAAGGCGCTCAAATTCGTACATCTTCGACTTGAGCGTAATACCCACACGAGAGCAGTTTATCGTCTTCTACTATTCATTTGAAGAACACTCATTTAAAGCGAGATCAAAAATAAGAGCGCAAATGACAACTTATGCTAAACCTCTCACTCACACAATACCAAGGGCCCGCTTGTCACTCACACATGCATACAATCCACACGATTTGCTCAAGTGTGCAAATATGCAGAACGAGATCAAACACACAAAGAACGTGACTGTGTGAGTGCGCTGTCTTCACAATGGCCACTCAACGCAACAAATTCCTACCTAGCACTCGCTCCCACTCGTTTATCGGGCCGCTATTTATTCTGAAAAATAAATGCACCATCTCTCTCTGACTGCTGTTGAGAGCGGTTCGGATTCTGTGTATAAATACGTGCAGCTAGCGCTGCGATCCCATATTAACCCATACACAAATAAATATTGACTGTTACGGATAATATGAAGAGAACTAATTCGCTTTGCCATTAAACACACAAACACACTCTGTGCACTCTGCAGGGGTATGCTCAGAATATAAAAAAGGTTACGCTCAGCTAAAGGCGTTCAACTAATTAAAAAGCTTTGCCTACGAATACATAAAAAACGGTAAGCATAAAAAATATTATTATTAATCTATTACAAAGGACATAAATATTTGAAAAATTTGCTTGCATATTGAATTTTGCTTAATTCTGCGCATTTCATTGTTTTGCCGCTCAACAATGGTCGAAAAATAGTAAAAATGATAACATATGTATGTGTATATAAATATATAAGCGATTTTTTTTTTTTTTTTTTTTGTATTTAATAAATATTAATATGCGCCAAAGGCTTTTAAATTGAATAAAAATTTAATATAAAATGGAAAAAAATTGCAAATTGAATTGTGTATAGAATAAAAAGTGATTTGTAATTCGTTGTTTGTGGCAATATTATTAAAATTTAGATAAATGTATAAAAAGTGGGTAATTATGAAATTCAATAAATAATTATGAAAACAACCATTAAGAATCAATTGTCATGGTAATGATAGTATAAATAATATTTTAAGAACTTGATTGCAAATGTGTAAAAATACTTATATTATAAAAACATAATATAATATTTGCAAATTTAATAAAAAATTTATGTGTATATATAACTGTGACGTCATGTTGCACGTAAAGATATGCACAATTGTATAAGAAAGGGAAGAAAAATGAACACAATATAAGAGATCATATTTATCGACGATTTAAATTACACGAACTCTTTTAGCTGCTGCAAAGCTCTCTTATAAAGCAGCTCTTATAATTTTTATGATCTGCTATCTTACTCTATCCTCATACATGTAAAGTGTATGACGAAGGTTGACTTCTAGCTCTTATAAAATAGTGTCTATGCCTGCCTCCCGCCTCTTTTAGTTATTTATAGCGTATATTTGAAATCTTTACTCACCAGATTATCGAAGCGCAGAGCATCCTCGTCGCTCAGGCCCATGCTGCGAGTTAACTGCAAATATGTGGATGTTATTGGCTTGAGTCGCTCCAGATCGAGTGGCGGCAACGGCTGCTGCGTCGAAGCGCTGCCTGCACCGACGCCGCCGCCGCTTCCGCCTCCACCGCCACGCAGCAGCACCTGCGGTATACGCAGATCAGCTGACAGCGGCAGAGGCAGCGGCAGTGGCAGCGTCTTTGGCGGACTAGGCAGCTCCAGCTTGAGCGGTGCAGCAGAAAGAGGCGTGGATGTGGTCGGGGCCTGGCCGTTTCTGGAGCTGGAAAATGAAGATTTCGTTAGATTGATGGGTGTATGAGGAGCTGTTGCCGCGGCTGCAGCTGAGGCGGTGGGCGTGGCCGTGGGTGAGCGTGCACCAGACGAAGTCGCCTGGGGAGGGGAGGAGCTACCGCCAGCCGGCGTCGCCTTGCTGGCTGTAGTGGTGCTAGTGGTGGTAGTGGTAGTGGTGCTGCTGCTGCTGCTGCTACTGGTGGTGGCTGGTGCTGTAGGATAGCTGAGACTCTGCAGCAGACTGCTGCCGTAGAGGGGCGGCGCTAAGACCGGTTGAGGCAACAGCGAGCCGCCAGCATAGAAGCGTCTCATGAAATCGTAATAGCGGACAAGATTATCTCGGGACTTGAGCAGCTGCAAGTCGACGCCGGGCAGCTGTGGGACGGACTGTGGTGGAGCCTGTGGCTCCACGGGCGGACTTAACGGACGCTGCAACTGGGGCTTGACTCGTATCTTGGGCACGCCCACCTCAACGGATGCCGCGGCAGCCGCCTCAGCGAGCGGCGCAGCGATGGGACTTGTTGGGGGCGGTGGTGCAATGGCATCCAAGTGGCTGGCACTGGCGCTGCTCGCCGCCGCACCACCGGCGGTGGCAGCCGCCAGCGCTGCATGCGCCTTGAGCTCGGCGCTCGAGTGACGCCGACGCTTGGCCGTGGGCCCCGCCTCCAGAGAGCTCTCCGTGTGCGAGGAGTAGTTCACATAGGTTTCCACTTCCGAGGAGCTCTCGTTGCCGGCCAGATCGTCCTTGGAGGCGGCCGAGGGCGAGGAGGGGCGCAGATTCTTCTTGCACTCGGGGCAGATGGTCAGGAAGCGAGTGACTGCCTCGCGGGGCAGAAATGCATATGTTTCGGTTATCTGAAGATGAGGATAATGGAAAAAAATATAAGACGTACTTATAATTTAATGATTATTGCGATGATAATGGTGTTGCTAATGCTAATACTACTGCTAAAGCTATTGCTAATTCTAATGCTAATGCTAATGCTAATTTTAATTATAATGATAATGCTAATGGTATTACTAATGATAATGCTAATGCTAATGCTAATGCTATTTCGAATGCTAATGGTATTGCTAATGGTAATGCTAATGCTTGTACTAATGCTACTGGTAATGCTAATGCTAATGCTAATGATAATGCTAATGATAATACTAATGCTAATGCTAATGATGATGGTAATGCTAATGCTAATGCTAATGATATTGCTAATGCAAATGCTAATGTTTATACTAATGCTAATTTAAATGCTAATGCTAATAGTATTACTAATGATAATGCTAATACTATTCCCATTGCCAATGCTAATGCTAAAACTAAATATTATGATTCTGGCTCATACGCTACACTCACAATGCGATAGGTGCGCTTCTGTCCCGCGTGCATGCCACTGCGTCCGCCCAGCTCCATGTGCACATTGTAAATGATGTCGAAGAACTCCTCAACGCAGGCCACCTTTCGGTAGATGCGACGACCGAAGTCCTTGCTCTTGGAGGCGGCGAACAGATCCACAGCGCCGGGATTGTCAGAGAGCACAGCCGTGCTGGACAAGGGCTCGCAACGACGTCGACTGCCAGGCGCTTCCTCAAAGCCCTCTGGACGCTTGGTCGTAAAGCCTGCGGGAGAGTAGGCGAAAGATGCAGCTATGAATAAGGATTGTGAGAGTCTTCAGTCCAGTTTGTAGACTCACCCTTTGTCTTCACCCAGAAGCGAAACTTGGAGCTGTCTGGTCGGCTGTGCTCTTTGCCCTCGAGCGCCTTCAGGATGCGCACCTTCTTGCGCAGCGTTATCGTCTTGGTCTTTGCCTGATCCCCGTAGGTCTTGAGCGCCCACGGTTGGAACAGCTCGTAGATCACCTCTCGCTCGCTGGCCAATTTGCTCAGCGACAGCGGCTGGTGCTCCGACGGCTGCTCACCCATCTCATCCACATCCGCATCGTAGGCCGTCTCCGTCTCTGCGTCAGGCTCCGTCTGTTCAGATCGCTCCTCGTGCTCCTCTATTGCATAGAGTTTGCGCTTCTGGCCACAGCTCGAGGACTCTGCGGACGAAGCCTGATCGAGACTGGGCCTACGATGCTTGCCATTGGACTGATCCATGGGAGCTACAAGACTCAGAGGACGTTCTACTCAAACAAAAAAAAACTCTTTTTGATCAGGGCAAAGTCCAAGCGATAAAGTAGCGCATTGAGTGAACAGGGAATATTTGAATAGATTTTGTGATAGGATTTCTAGAATAATGGGCTAAGCGGTAAATTAGATATATTTCTTCATGGAGCTGTAAAGAGGCGGAAATGTATGGATTAGATAAATTTTTAGGGGACTCAAAGTCTAGTTCATCAGGGCAATGCCTTGAATCGATATATAAAATAAAGAATATTTAAAAATATTTTGAATAAAATGAAAAAAATCAAACACAATAAGCATTTCATTAAGGTAAGATCTTGAATCGATATAATAAATATAAATGTATTTAAACTATGATTTTATAAGAACTTTAAACACTGCTATAGCGTTTTGTGATCTTTTTCAATATATGTATTTTAAAATAGTTTTCAATTAAAAATAAAGTTTTTATAATTGATTTGAAACCATTTGATTTAAGTACTAAAACGAAAGTCAAATGAAATGTAGCGAGTTTTTGGTTCAGTTTAAATCTATCATATTGTGAAAAGATTTCAAACAATTTTTTTGTAAGATTTATTTCAATATGATATGAGTCGTTTCACTTTTATAAAGCAATATGAACTCTGGAAGTTTTTTAGACTTGGGCTAAATCATTTCAATATTTTGAGGTAAAAGTCACAGAATTGGTTTTATTTATCCTTAAATGGAACATTCTATAGCATATAAGCTTTTAAATTGTATTTAAGCACATATTCAAAGAATTGTTATAAAAAACTTGCTAAGAGTCAAGCAAAAAATTCATAAATATTGTAAAACTATTTAAGATGCTAGTAATTCGCTTGACTTTTCACTGCACTGAATCACATTTTAACATTTTGTATATGAAATATATTTTATATTTAGTTCGTTTTATTTATTTGTTAATTCTCGAATTTCTTTAAGAAAATCAGGAATGGTTCTCAAACTCTTTGTTTTTAGTTGATCTTCACAGTCACAGTTTTTCACTTACTTTAACGAAAAATTCCAAGAAAACAATTTTTTTAACAATTCATGCAAATTAACAGAAAATTTAAATTTAAACGAAATTGATTTAGAAAAACAAAACAAAACGCGACGAATTTCTCGTCCTCTAACAGCAAAACCAACAACAACAATAAAAAAGTGCGCGACGCGACCGAAATGAAGTTTCAAACACAACTGATCTGATGGGCTGATGGGCCATAGGAGAGAGTCCAGTCCAGTTGCTCAAGGATGCTGAGTGGATCACCAGGCAGCAGTCGAAGACAGGCTGCGAACCGGTTCACCCGTTGACCGCTCATCTTTGAACTGCCCAAGTCAAGTTAATGAAGGCAGAGCAAAAAAAGAAAACACAAGTAAAAGGGGGTAGCTCAGCAAGTAATCATGTCTATGCAGTACAGGGTATGCGCCTAACCCTTAAGCCTACCTCAACAGTTGCGCAATTGCTAAGGCTAAGGCTGAGGCTGAGGCTAAGGCTGGGCATGGGCCAACCCAGTGAGAGCGCTCAATGCGAAACGTCTTTTGCGCTTTTTAAGAAGTGCTTGCTCTTGCTCTCTCACTCTCACCTCACTGCTCACTCCCTCTCTGTCTCTCAGAAACCCACCCTCGTGTTAGCTAAGCATATTTTGCATTTTTTCATTGCATACTTTTCGCTGCTAGTGTCTCATATTTCTTTGCATTCAAATATTTGACGCTCTCTCTCTTTTTTTATGCTTTTGAGACGCCCGCACATGTTATTTCCACTCACCGCCCTGCCACACCCCCACGATGTGACGCCTGTTGCGCCTTTTCGTTAGCCTTGAAGCTGGCATTGTCCTTGCTTAGCTTTTTTCCTGTTTTGTTTACTTTGAAAGTCACGAGGATGTTGGGGTATTATTGGTAGTGTGCGTTGAAGTTAACTGGGTTGATTTATCGTATAAGTATAAGTTGTAAACTAGTTAAGTTTTAAAATATGTGTATGATAGTTTATAGGTTATATAATTTAAAATTATTGATAATTTTAATAAATGTGAGTGTTTAAAAAAAATATTTGTATATGCATTTCTGCTTTATGTTATTTTGGAAATGCATAAAATTTATTTATTTT